TGTTTACACTAGGAGCGCGCGCGAATTCCCAGCTGGAGCCGCGGAAACTTTTTGTTACTTATACGCACTGACTAACTTTGTTATGCAATTAAAACATTTACGATTACTTATTTCTATACATGCAGACTAACACATATGTATGTATGTATATACATACATAATTTTAATATAATATTTACTTTAATTACACTAATCAATTTTCAATTACTGTTGTTTACTTTTTGGTGATCCTTTAACACGATTACAAACACACATATTAATATGTATTTTTATATTCAACTGTTTGCAGAATTTTTAAACTCCACTATTTAAATACATATGTGCATTAGGGCGGGTCAATTTTTTTACACTAACGTATAATTCTAAGCAAATTTAGCTAAGAAACCATGGGTCTAAAATCAATTTGGAGTTTGCGAAATTTCGAAAATAGGTTTTAAGGAAAATGTGAAAACTTTCACTTTTGCGCCCTCTAGCGGAGGTTTACGGAAAAAACAGTGCAAAAATGTGTTCCTCATACCGAAAAACACCTTATAGCATATTTTTTTTAACAAAATTTAAGCACTTCTTTATGACACTACAGCAAAATGCTAAAAAAAACTTCTTTTCGCAATTTGGCAAACTCCAAATTGATTTCAGACCCATGGTTTCTTCGGCAAATTTGTTTAGAATTGCACGTAGAATCCTTCTGTGATATACGCGAATAGTCGAAAAAAATCTCTCATACAAATTGACCCGCCCTAGCGTACATATATATATGTATATATGCCAATTAAATTACTTACATATTTTCATTTAATCACTTCAAAATATATATGGTAATTTTTATAGAACCTTATTTAATTTCACTCTGTTAGACAATATTATAAATGTTTTTTCAATTTACTACAAGTACGAAGTTGGGCGAGATGTTGATAAATATTTTTCAGATTTTTTATATATCTCTTTCCTTTAGCGATTGTTGAATTTGAACCAACTAATCAGAAACAGAAAAAAAAAACTTATGAAATAATTTTAAAGTGCCTGCCTTGAACCTCAGCGGTGGTGTCCATACAGGACAGGCAAACCTTAAAACGTCATAATTTTTTTTGCAATGGGATTAAGTTGATTTTTTTTTTTTTCTAAATCAATTATAAGATACGGAATTTTATATGTATGTAAATTGACTTCAAAATAATTCTTGTTTTCAGCGACCTGTAGTAAATTAGCAAATAATTTTTTGTTCTAACCTCTCAACTCCTACCGTAATGACCTTTATTTTGAAGAAGTTTCATGTACATAGTGAATCCGAAATAGCAGTTAATAACATTAACGTATTGGCGCTCATACAATATGTTAGTGTTTGGCCGAGTTTTTCCTCCGATCTGTGGCGTGCACCTTGATGCTGTCACACAAAGGGGAGGGACCAACCGTTTTATGCCGACTCCAAACGGCGATTGTATTTTTATGAGAAGGTATTTTTCATGGCATGAATACATTGGGAGAGAGCGAAGCAAGTATAATGAAAAAATTTATTTTCATGGGTGAGGTTAGGTCAGGAATGGACATAGAAATTGGTCAATTGGCTCTTCTTCATCCCCATCACGGCAGCCCCAGCAGAGAGTACTCGTTCGTATTCGCCACCGTCGAAGCATTGGTGCTAAGCACAGTGTCCACTGATGATGCCGGTAAGGCATTTCACTGCCGACCTATTGAGTTTCAGTAGGTCCCTCGTCTTTTTCCTACTAATCTCACAATCTTCCTATTTGTTCCACAAGTCATTAGTCGTGGCCACGATGTATTCACAAATTTTCCTAACGTGATCACTAAACGGTGGTAGTATGGAGCTATCCGTTTCTTCTATTGGCATCTCCAAGCCGCATCTGGCCATATCATAAGACGACCCAGCATAGAGTGATATTGACACGGCTCAGCTACGCCAGTGTTTTGCGAAATTTCCATATAATTCCCGATTTCACAATTTTAGATCCTATTACCTTCAGTGCTGCTAGACTGTCTGCAAAGAAAGTGGCTTTGTCTTATGGAGCTCTACTACTATTTAAGTAAAAGACTCTGCTTCGAAGACACTACTGCTTGTTCCATCTTTGAACCATCAGTGAGATGGACATACCACCCTCTGCTACCGGCAGTCCTGCATCCCATTCTTCTCTGGGCGAGAACTTAGAACTAGGCACATTCGTATTGAAGTCCCAAATAAGCGTATGCTGGCTTCTATGTCAGTTTTAATTCCATTGAGCAGGCCCCTTTTTATTACATTAATTGGTGCTGCATGCCCGAAATTGGTTGCGCTCCACGTTTTGGCCTCACTGAACCTTAGGGCGCTCTTTGCGGCCGTACCATGGATGAAAATATGCAGCGGGTGTAGGTGAAAAATCATGTTTAAGTCTTTCTGAGGTGCGTTACTCACGGCCCATGTTATACAGAGGCAGGCAAGTCTTTGTCTAGAGCCCTCCACTATTCTAAGGACCCGTGGGTTGCAATTCGTCTGTTGACTGAAGTGTACATCCCATAGGAGATGTACGGTGATTGTTCCCATTGCTTTCCAAAGGTTCTTTTGCATATGTAGTACGCTGGTCGAGATTTCTTGGCTCTCTCCTCTAAATTATTTTCCCAATTCCACTTGGAGTCCAGAATGATTTCGAGGTATTTTGCCTCGGAGAAGTGATTCAAAGTTATTGCCCCCTAATTTCAGCAGAAAAAAAGTGGGTACTTTTGTTTTCCTTGGGTTAACCCCCAATCCATTCTGGTTGGCCCACTTAGCGATATCACCTAGTGCACCCTTCATTAGTCCACTTGTCGCTGACAGGAAATTTAAGTCTTTTAGTTTAGTTTTACTCTTTTTTGCCCCCAACTTCGCGAATATATTTGGGTTGTTCACACTTGCCTGGTTATCAGGTTATCTGGTTATGTGCTTTTATTTTTCATTCAGTGTACAACAATAACATACAGTATACAATAATAAGTTTTAACCAGATAACCTGATAACCAGGCAAGTGCGAATAGCCCAACTAATTTTCTTGTGTATAAAATTGACTGTCGCACGGTGTTACAATTAGGGAAATTGTTATCGAAATGTATCAATATGTAAAATTTCTGTTTAAGTAAGAATACAATATTAACCATTAAGTATTGTTGTTGGTCTCTCAGATCACGACAAAATTTTTAGATTCAAATTAATATTCCTTTTACGTGTCGATAAATATTTAAAATAGTTTTTTCTTGTTTTTATAGCTATATAAGAAATCAACGTTGAAAATCCAAGAAATATTCATGACTAAAAATTTCCCCAGTTTCTAATCATTGTGAAAGTTGCCAAATTTTTTATTTTTTTCGGTTAATTTGAAGTATTTTTGTTTCAATAGTTTAATAGCTTTGTACCACGATTTGTTTATTAGGAAAAAATGGAAAAAACAAGCAGCTATTTCGGAGATCACCACATCTCCTCATCAGACCTCTTTTTTTCTAGACTTTCAGCAGGGATCGAACCCGCATCATCGATGTGCAAAGTCAGAAGCGCTAACCACTGAGCTATGCACACCCCGTAAGCTTTTGTTGCTAATCCATTTCCTTATGCAACCCACTACTATCAAGTGCAGCTGATTCGCCGCTACTAGTATTTTTATTTTACAAACAGTCTTTTGCTTTTCAAACAAATTAATCACTTTTTTGCTTTTTTGATTTTGCTCTTAACATGTGGTTTGCAGATATTGTCAATAAAATTTAAATCTAATTAACTTGAATAAAAAATAGTTCTAGTGTTTTAATTTTTGCAAAGTCTAAGGTGTAATATTTTTACTAAAAACAGCTCTTGGAGAAACGCGTTATGTACATATATTTTCATTACTTAACAATTAAGTTTGTGTATCTCACAAACCAACGTGGGTAGTTATGTGTTTTTTTTTTTAAGTACAGTAGTTAAGGGTTAATGTGATTTTTGGGACTGTGCAATTGAACTAACACGTCAATATCAGGATTGAATGAAGATGTTTTTCGTATCCTTTGTCATGGTTTATTTCATTATTTTTGATAGTTTTAGGATCGATTCGCGAACCACCTGTTACCCTTACGCGACCCACCGGTTGGGAATCGATGCCTTAGAATATCTTTGACCCAAATATAATAAAAAAAATCCGCGAAATTTGAGAATAAAAATGTTTGGATTGGTTACGTTTTCGATTGTAATTACTTTTTTATGCAAATTCACACAAAAACAAAATTTTGGAAATTTAATTTTACTCTTGTAAATAAAATGAAGAGCAAAGTATGCAATATTTTTATACGATGCGAAAGTGTAATGTATACACAAATAAGGAATTTACATAAACTTACTATAAACAAATATTTACCATTTTTATTAAGGTTAGCGCCACTATGTATATCCACTAGATAGGTTGAGGCAGGAATACAATTACATACATACATATGTATTTTTATGATTGAATACAAACATGCATATTTATTTATTATCACTTTTACGATATGGCAATATTTCAAAATTATTCAAAAATATTTTATGCACAAATAAACTAAACTGATATATACAAAAACATTTGTACATGTGTATATTTTATAGACATCTAGTTGATAACACATTTTTTTTCGAGATAATCCTTTTAGTCAGCTATGACTGTGTATGACCAAATATAATTTATTTCACAGTAAACTATATAGACATATGTACATATACAAATATATATTTATCCTAATACTCCAACTTACTGGAATTTATAAAATCTTCTAAACAAAGGGTTACTGATTTAACCATATCGGTTTGTAGGTGTTATTTGCATTGATTTCACTTTAATATTATATTTATGTACATATGTATGTATGTATGTATGTATTTTGCGCTTTATTCTCATTTCTTACAATATTGCCCAGTATTACAGTTAGTATATACAATATGCATTCAACAACCAGCTAACAGCAAAACAAAGATTATTGTCTCTCGGCAACCGTGGCACATAAATATTTAGTTTCCATGATTTGAATTAAATTTTCAGGAACACATACGCCAATCGAAGGAGAGCAAACTGGATGAATTGGGCCGCAGTTCAAAGGCACGCTCAAGGGAGAATTTACACAGCACAATGCCGAGGTAAGTGGAACAAAGTGGTGAGGGCGTATTTTACAAAAGGCAATTTGTGTAGTGCAATAACTTCTATTAACTTGCGAATGCACAACAAGTGCGTGCGTGCGTGCGTGCGTGCATGCGTGCATGCGTGCGTGTATGTGTGTTTGTTTGCCCCTATGTCGAACTGTCAATTCCAATTTTACTCCACTTCACAGGCCCAAGCCATCGCAGACATCCTTGCAAATTCTTGACGACACAACGAATCGCTATTATCGCGAAGTGGTGCCCATGTCGCACATTCATAACAAACCTGACCTCAAGGATCGTGAACACAGCATTCTTAGGCATCGCAATGACATGGTCGTACAGACGAGCTTCTGCGGTGATGACGGCCGCGATGAGAATAGCTCCGAAACGACAGTGGAAGCGCAAGTGGCAGCGGCGGCGGCGGCAAATGCCTGTGATATGGGCTGTCAAACGCGGTAAAAAACAACAACACAAACACGTACATATACATACATACATATATCCATATCTACATGTTACAATTTGAAAAGACAAACAACAAACAACAAACGTACATCATCTGTACATATGTATTCATAAGCGTAGTCGTATCAGCATATTTGCATATTTGCACACTTGTCCCCAATGTTTGTTCAGCAATCAATGAGTATCCCATGTCCCATGTCTTTGCTTACAGTGAATCGCTTTTTGCCACACCACTGATGCACCAAAGCTCGTTGAGCTCAGTGAACAAGGACAGGGCCAGCCTTCACTCACGCTCACGTTTTTCTACATTTGGTTATGATGGTGCTGAATCGACACCACCACCAACGCTTCCAGCTGGTGGACGCGGCGGCAACCAACTTACAGGACTCAATATACGCGATGCCCAGGGTTATATCGAAATGAGGGAGCGACATCCAGCGCCGAAGTCGTCCATGCCGCATATGCATCGTATGAATGCATTGCCACCGACACCGCCCACGCCAGCAGTGCCGTCAGAGATGTGTCATCATCATCATCAACATGCGCACACGCACGTACACGCCCAACAACAGCAACAGCAACAGCAATCAACGGCACACCAACAGCAACAGCAACAGTTGGCTATGCAACAGCAGTCGAGGGAGAGTGCGCTGGCGGCAGCGGCGGCGGCGGGTAGCAAGTCAACCACGACAACGACAATGACGCCGATGCCGGCATCAGCTCAGGGAAAAGCCAAGCCAAAGCTGAGTCAATCGACAGCTTACATCGACATTAGAAATTCAGCGCCGGATGTCATCATAATGACATCGCATTGACATTTAAGTAACTCGACGAAAATCACGCCATATCCACATGGGCGCACGCAACAGCAAAAACACATTAGCACACTCGATAGACTGTTGCAATGTGCTGGCGCAGTACCCGGTAGTAGTCCGGGAAGCGCAACACAGCGGGCATTTGCGAGGACGAGTGAAATGTCGCCACAAATAACGAAGTCGCTTGGGTAGGTAAAGCTTCTAAGTGCATGTATGCGGTGTGAAATCAATTAGGATTTTTCAGTTCGCCCTTAGAATGTGTGTAACTTTGGTGAGGATAGTTTAGTAAACATTTTAGTTGACATTTTAAAAATTTCATCTTGCAAAGCTAGAAAAAGTACTGAAAGGAGGAAGAGGTATTAAAAAGCATTTAGAGCATTGGCAATTAACAGACAGTTGGAATTAAAAGATGCCATTGGAAGATTTATTTCAATAGGACATGCAGAGTAAATAACTGAATAACTGTGGCAGTACGAATCGTATTCGATCCATGCGATCCATATGATCCGTCAGATACCGTAATAGGCATGAATATTCAAACATTTCAAACTAATGGAATGTAAGAAAAAATTTTTTTCTCGCTCCCATTCTTTGTGAATGCTTCAGAGAAGATTTATTTTCGCTCCTCTCTCTGTCAGAAAGTTCGTGAGACGTTAGTTCCCAAATTTGTATTCGAGAGAAAGTTCCTTAGACTCTTGGTCTTTGCCAAAACGTTCCGGAGACTTTTGTTTCCATTAACTATTGTTCGCATTTTGTTCTCTTTTGGAACGTTCTACACGGGGGTTTGTTCTTACATAATTGCCATTGAGAATGTTCTCGACAGTTTTGTTCTCATTTCGGTTTTGGTTTCAAGCATTCTTGGGAGCAAACTTTCGAGATTTGTTCTCGGTCGCTGGTTTTTGGTAAAAAAATTACAAAATTTTTCTCTTGAAAATCATTTTGAAGGTCACAATGAATAAGACATTACTTTTACCTTGAAAGAGACCCCCAAAAGTATTTCTTTTTAATTACTTGTTGCTTTTTGACCTAAAAACAGCATTTAATGAACCCTTAAAAAAAATAAATTGATTTCGACTTCTTAAAGCAAGGACAACAAAATCAAGTGTTTAAAACTTTTTAAAAAGTTCAGTGCTTACGGTTTTCGGGTAAAAAAGGATATAAATTGAAATCTCGCTACTTTTCAGGTGATTTAAAAGGTCAAGTTGATTTTTTATTCAACAAAATAATTTTTCCTTGAATTTTCCACCTCAAGGACATTAGTATGCTGTTAAATTTATTTCACTAGCTCTTCTCATTTTCGACACTATGCGCCACCTATCGGACAAAATTTTGTGGTGATTCATGAAGAAATATACGTTCTAAATATGAACCACTTCCGACCATAAATGCGGGCTTTTCAAACATCTTAATTCTTAATTAATTCATTTTTCAAGTATCTATGTCATCGGAAAGTTGGTTAAATATTGAGTGAAAATTAAAAAAAGCTTGTAAAATATAACGACAACAGTTTGATAAGTCAGAGACTTTTTGTATTACCCACGTAGTAACTTTGAATGCAACTTCTATGTTCTGATTAGCTCATGAGCAAGCTAATAAACGCTGCAATTTTTTTTAAGTTTACCATTTTTAAAATAAAGTTTATTTTATTAAAAAAAAAGATGTACCCAGTAATGAAAATTCTAATGACAATGGCAAAGGCAATGGTGATAATAGAATAAGAATGAAAAAAAAGAATCAAGTGATAACGATTAAGAGCTTTTATCCCAGTGACGAGTTAACCCACTTTCGGCATTTAACTAAAGAGTTTTAGTAGAATAATTTTATAAATTAACCGCCGAATGTGAGTTACTTACCAACTGTGAAAAGGGTATTAAAAAACTGCAGCTATACGAAATCAATAGATAATATTAAAGATTATTAAGCTCTCCCCTCTAAACGGTAAATAAGGACATTGCACGAAAAATTTACACTTAGGAAAATATGATTTTTTAAGTCATAATATATATTTTTTTTGTTTAATTATTTTATTTATATAGTATTATAAAAGTACTATCGAAGTTAAAAGTCAAAATGTACAAATCGTGTGATCCCTGCTTAAGTATATGACGAATACTCGGAGGTGTATGGCGAACTGGGACGGTCTAATGTACATAAATGTTTCAATTGTAGAAGGGTAGACGTAGTTAGACTGTGTTAAGGGAATTTTTTTATTCTACAAATCCAAATTGTTACAAGGATCGCCATATTCTGACATCATGCATAAAAAGTTAGATTAAGCCTCGACTCAATTTTTAGTGCAAATTCTTGAGCTTGAGCTCACTTTATGTGCATGACGTCCACTGTCATGGGAACCAAAAACTAATGGATGGCATTTTTACTCCGCAGGTACGAATAAAGCAAAGAGTACTACAAAACACTAGCCGTTTCTGAATTTTTCACAAAAATGTGTTATGGAATGTACTGGACCGCTTAGAATACTGCAAAACATACTACTTACATATATAAATACTTAATAATAAATGGTTGAAGGTTGTAATGGTAAAACATTTCCTCACTTATATGAAGTAACATTAGTTTCCTTTTTTTGCAAAGAGTTGAATGTAATTAAACTATCGAAAAAACATATTGTACATAAATAGTGCATGCAGTGAATATGTATATGTACATAAGTATGTCATTGCATATATCGGAAGGAAATGAAAATTGTATTTAGTTTACTTAAAACTAAGTAATTAATTTGGTAATCAAATAATTGAAGTGGTAAACTAGTGAAAATAGTCAAAGCTTTAAGCTCGCATTATTAAGAACTTTCATACGTATTAAACATAATGGAATAATTAGCATAAAAGCAACATACATATGTCCGTACATAGATACACGAAGTATGTACATTAGGGTGGTCCAAAAATACACCGAAAAAATATATCCCTATTTTTTTATTTTGAAATCAAAAAATATTTAGAGGTCACTCAAAGCGCTTAAAGTTTTCCATGTATTCTATTTGTATTTTATATGGGGAAAAACAACTTTTCGTAGAAATGGCCTAGAATTCTCGTAAATAAATATTCTATACCGTTTGTACGAAAAGTTGTTTTTCCCCCATATAAAATACATGGAAAACTTTGAGCGCTTTGAGGTCCTCTAAAAAATTTTTTCGATATAGAAAAATCCTAGAGGGTGAGAGCATTAAAATTGCAACTTTACTTATTTTGAACCACCTTAATGTACAGACTATATGCATACATAGTTAGCCGATAGCGAATTTTTTTTTTGTTGAAAGAACTTTTATTGGAAAAGTTAAACATTTTATAAACCTAAAAAACAAAAATGTCGACAGCTCTGAAGAATACAGAAACCGTGCTTGGAACTTTCACGCAACACTTTTTTTATTGAGCTGGAATAGATGAAATGAAACCAAAAAATTGTGAAAATAAGAACAGTGACTCGAAGAAGCGTTCAAATGAAGATTTTTTTCAATATTCACAATATTTTTTAAGCTAATTTTTTTTTTTTATACATACACACATATATTGCTCATACTATAACCAGAACCATATAAAGAAAAATTTCAAATTTAATGCAAAATTTAGAATATTTTAAAAAATGTTCCTTAAATTTCCTTTTTTAAATTCAATCCGAAATTCTAGAAAATCTTCGACTACGCAGTTTAGTGTTCTATAAATTTTTAGTTTTGGTAAAGTGCAAGTTTTAGTATTTTTTTGCTGACGATTTCTTTCACTTTTTTTCGTATATCAAAGACCATTCACAAAAACAAGCATTTCAAAAAATCAGCCCCTAGTTTTTATAAATTGCACAGATTTTTAGTTGCTTCAAACATGCCAACCAAAAATTAAGATCAAAACGTTCCGCAATTTTCTGAATTTTCCAATTTTTTTTTATAAAATTTTAAACTTTGATTTACATGCTTTTGTTATACCATGAACAATATTTTTACAACAAAATTAACCAAAAAAAATTTATCTGAAAAAATTGTGAATATTACAAAAAAAACCGTATGAACGCTTGCTTGAGTCACTGCATAGGTATAAATTATATAAATATAAAAAAGTAATTTTTAGCAAAATATACAAAATACATATATAAAAAATTACGATAATTGATAACCTTCCTCCTTTTTTGAAGTCGGCAAAATAAATAGGGAAAATAAAGTACTAAAAATTTATTTTACTCTTAATTTCTTGTAAACTATGTAAATATTATCAAACTACACGAAAAAATTTGTTTAACAAATTTATAAATATGTATGTATAATTGTTTTATTGCGAAAAATTGTACGTTTAACTGTATTATATGTACGTAGATATTCATTTTTCAAATTGAGCCACTAACTAATCCCAGCATTTATGAAAGTTGATCAATTATACAAACAAATGTAGAAATGATAAAAATGAAGTAATTTCTAAAACAATTTCTAGTAAGTAGTATGTAAAGTATACATATACCAAAATTAGCTACTTTCACAACCATACATATACATATGTACATGTGCAGAAAAATATTCAAAATATTTTCACTTGATTTTTAAGTTTTTCTTAGCGAATTATATTGAGTTAAACTCAACTGGAAACTTGTTATATAGCAAAAACTTTAACTAGTAGATATTAACTTAAGTCGCATACTAATTGAAAACAAAATATGAATGTAGCAAATAAAAAGGCCAGCGTAAAAAAAAAAACTTTTTTAATGGTAAATAATTAAATATCTAATTTATATGCGAATTCATACTGTCATTAACGTCACATAATCATGTGTGTATATACAATTAGATACGTACAAAAAACAGAGTTGTATACATATTTATGTACATATGTATATAGAACGTTTGTTGAAGTACGACTCCATTTTGAATAAAAAATAATAAAATCAAATTAATGTTGTTTTATTTTAAATGATACTTAATATCTAATCGTTAATACAAACGGACGGAATCGAAATGACTGGGATTTATGTATGCACATTAGGGTGGGTCACGGACGAAAGTTTTTCGACAAACCGCATAGTATTTTCGGTTTCTGTAGATAATTCTTTTTAAAAGAAAATGTACAAGAAACCAGAAGTCAGAAATGAGTTGCTAGCCTTTACATTTTTAAAAGAAACATTATTTTTTCACAAAATATTATTTTTCACCTTTTGTTACAACTAATGGTTACGAAATTATAAACGCCACATACATGGAAAAGTTTTAACAATTCATTTGATTGTAATTTAAATTCTGTATTTTTTTTTTCTTTGTAAATATATAGTCTACTCTTTGAAAAACATCGTATAAATCCAAGTTCAAACTTCGTGCAAAATAAAAGAATCAACAAACTTTGGTAAAATTACCAAGATTTTTAGTTGGATTTCTTAGAAACCTTTTGAGTAACTAGTCCAATAAATTTTAGTAAATAAAGTGCAAAAAATAAAATTAAAAATAAGATGAAAAAATTTTAATACTGGAAAAAGGTAATTTTTTTTATTTAAACTCACGGTTTCTACTACACTTTTCTTAGATTTATCTGCAGTACCAGAAAATACCATGCGACTTAGTAAAAAAAAATTACCCACCCTAATGTACATACATATTTATACAACTCTTCGTACTCATTTGATCTTCTTCGAGACTTGCGGTTACTGAGTGGTTAACAATAAGGCGCCTTAGACAGCCCAGAAGGTCCTTTGACTATCCTTTCGCTAGAAAGCACATACATCATTTGAATAGATCAAACATCAGGACGCCCACAGGTTACCTAATCGGTCAAAAAAATCTGCGCTCTAACACGCAGCGGCTGGGCCTGGCCGCGGTGAAGGAAGACCGTCTTTATTTTGCCGTCGAAGGGGCATCGGAGCATGTTCTGTGTGATGGCCTACGATGGTCCAGACTGACATGAGTACTTTGTATTTGTTTTTTAAGTAATTTTTTAAGCAGTATTTGTATTTTGTATTTTTAAATACTTTTTCTATTCTTCATTATTCGTCATACATATCATAAAATTTCCAGTATAACACCGGCAACTTTGTTGACATTTGAAATTCGGATTAGCAAAAATGTTAGGTCATGCGAAGCGCAATGGACAAGTTGAATATTTACTCATTCTCTTCTCTTCACTTATTCATTGCAACAAATAAAAATTTTTTGATTTTAAAAGTATTTTCAAATGTATTTGCATTTTCAAAATAACCCCGCAACCATATTCTGAACATTCAGAATAAATGAGTCCGCAAGGAGTCCTAGGTGGTTAAGAAATATGCGTTTTAAAAACAAAAATTTATACCAGTTATGAGCCAACACTTTGTGCCTATATAAAAACTATAAAGATTAGAAATTTATATCTAAGCTGGTTTATACTGAAATTTAAATTAATAATGAGGGGAAAAAATAAAAAAAAATGTTGCTGCAGCTGCTGCTATTAAATGCATTTTGCAATGTATATATGCACGTAAGTATGTATGTATGTATGGTAAATATTTGACAGAAGTTTATGCTGAATGCTTTTGTAAATAAAATGGGGTTCAATAAGACTCATAGAACAACCTAAAATAAGTGCCCGAATGTAGTCATTTATGAGGCCGATGCGAGTCATTTAAGAGCCTCAAAAAGAGTCTGAAATTATTTATATATTAGGCCAAAAATTGTCTTAAAAGAGTCCAAAATGAGCCGAATTTGAGGCAAATAAGAGTCGACTATGACTCATACTGAGGATCATTTGATGTATGAATTTAAGCTCATATAGTTCGACCTTCGAAGGAAAGGAAACACCCTCATTTCGGACACTTAAATGAGCTCATCATATGCATAAGGCTCCAAAATAGGACTCCTTAAAGACTCATTTATGAATCCAAATGTTTGATGGGAAGTACGTATTTTATACTTATTTTGTATTTAAATATTATTTTACAAGTATTTTTAACATCTCTGGTCATTATAACATTATTCTTGACATAAGGCAGTACTGAAACCGTAAGGCTGAAAAACATTTCAGGAAATCCCTAGCCGGCCTATACTTCTGTGAGCAAAAGATGCAGTCTGCAAGCAGATGCAGTAAATTCTATGTATTTACATAATATCCCTTTCCGGTCAAATCCGTCCCTGCTGAATATAAAAATTTTTCCTCTTGATTACAAGGTTCATAGAGCCTCATAATACCAAAAGTAAAGAACAAATATTCAAAAGTGGTTTTGGGTAGCTCAAATTTGTGCAATATATTGTACAAAAGTCCGCAAAGGAGTAAAAGCACTCAAGAAAACTCAATAAATATTTCACAAAGTTTGACGGAATAAAACTTTTATTTCATTGAAAATGAACTTATTTATATACAAAATAATTGATTTTACTGCAGCTATTTTGGAATGAATATTTTATATCTTTTTAAGTATATTTAGTTAAGATTTGCATTAAAAAGTTTTAAATTTTCTCCATAAGAATAGAATTACATATATAAAGAAATTTTGAAAAAATTCAGATATAATTATAATATAAAATACAAATGACCCGTTTTAATAAACCTTCGCGGTTTTTCTGCCTTGAGTAGATCATTTACTGCAACAAAAGCGCACAGGCACTTCAAAAACCACGGCAAAAAGCACCCCAATTGCCTGTTTAACTGCAATCTTTGCGGACGTTTGTACAATATATTGTACAAGACACTTACAACCTTTCAGTGCAAATATACAATATATTGTACTTTCTTTTTGACTACTTGGGAAAAATATTTTAAATCATGATAGTTTAAATTTAGCATATTTACATGTTTACGTACTATGTGCTTTTACTAGCGATTTTACTTGACTTTCACGAATTTACAATTTTATAAAATGGTCTATTTTTAAATTAAATTCTAAAAATATTTTTGAAACGCTTTCGATTTTGAAATTTACGTAAACTATACGGGAC